CTATTTCATTTTAGCAATTCTATTGGTAGGTAAGGAATGACTTCTGATTGTGTTTTAGTTTGCATTCCCGCCCCACTTTTTGGTGGTGGTAGTGCTAGGAATTGAACACAGTGCTGTGTACATGTGGCAAGCACTGAGCTACAACCCACAGTCCCATATTTCTATTTTAAATTGATTTTTTTAATTGTTGAGTTTGAAGATTAAACTGTACACATTTTCTCTCGCTTTATTTATCTTTACAAGCATTTTTCAGATTAAGTTTTAAATTTTGATTGTTTATTGTATTTTTCTGTATGCATTTTTTATGTTATGTCGAAGAATTGCTTTCCTAAGATTGAAGATTTTTCTCCTAAAATTGTATAGCTTTACATTTTTATTTAGATTTATGACAGCCTTTATATAAAGTGTGAGGTTTAGCTTATGTGTGTACACTATATTATATATGGATATCTAATTTCTACAATATCATTTACACTGTTGTCTAATAACCCTATCAGTGTTGGTTCTGTTCCATTGAATGATGTGTCAATTCTTGGCCAAGACCACATTACTTTGCTCATTGTATCTTTACAGTAAGCATTAAAATCAGGTAGTATGATTTTTTCATCTATCTTCTTTTCAAAATTAATTCAGCTACTCCTATTTCTTGCCCTCCCATATACACTTTAGATTCAGTTTATCTCTGTAGAAAAAATTAAATTGTTCTGAGTCTATAGATTATATTCATGAGAATTGATATCTTTATTTGAAGTTACATGTTCTTACTGACTAAGCCAACTGAGCACAGTAGCATATATAAAACTAAAATGACTTACAGGAAATATTTGAGAGTAGTAATGGCAGTTTTGTATTCTTCTGTGTGATGATCAGTTAGGTATATCCCTAAGAGGTGGTAGAAGAAAAGCTGAGGAAAACAAAGTTGGTTATACTCACAGGGATCTGGAACTCTAAGCAGGGTTATATGGGAAAGACATCAAGATGGGAAAGACTGGATGCAGAAGGGGAAGGTTTAGGCCACTATCCTTATTGAAGCTTCCATGGGAGAGAAGTAGGGCTGGGTAAAGAGTTCATACTTGTCTAGTTTGATTTATTTCCATAGGCTCTAAACTGAGGGAGATATTCCTAGTTACCTGGTACCTGCCTTTGAGATGACTAATGTAGAGGAGTATTGCCTTTTTAGTGTAAGCGTTGTCAGGTGGAGGAATCCTGGCTGTGGGCTTGTTAGTTTGCATATAAATAGCACAACTCTGACTTAGCCTTTGCTATCTATGAGTAGCCCTTTGGGGAAGAGCACACTTCTACAGTCTGAAAGGCTAGCAAGTCTACTTAAAGCCTTTTTCTCCCATCTCTGCCCCTCCCATCCCTTTTTTTCCCCTCCCCTTTCCCTTCCTCTCTCCTTTTTAAGTTTGTCTCTCTGGCATGATTCCTTTGTTATGCTTTTTCTTTTGTTCCTTTCATTCATTTTCCTTCTTCCCTCCTTCCCTTATTATCTGTGATCTTGGTTTTCATACCAAATGAAGATCATTGTAATAAAAAATGGTGAGAATTGAATGAGATGATACATTTGAATATCCTGCCCAGTGATTTGTATGTAGAAATGTTCATTATGTGTTAGATTTTTTTGAATGTGGTCGGGCTGAGGACTTGTTGATGCTAAGCAAACATTGTACCATTTGAGCCACAACCCTCAACCTTTTGTTAGGTATTTTGTAATGACTAATATACAAGACCTCCTTGCATATGAAAGACAGTCATTCTACCCTTTGGCATATATGGAGCTGGCATAATTGAATTTTGAGAACTCAGAAATAAGCTTGACTTTTCTTTTTTTGTTGGGGGGCAGTAACTAAGTTTGAATTCAGGGTCTTGTATTTGCTACGCTGTACCACTTGAGCTATATCTCCTGCTCTTTTTTGTCCAGGCTGGACAAAAAGTTAGCAATATCCCATAATTACAGAATTGTGATCCTGCTTTCTGAATAGCTGGGGTTGCAGGCATGAGTACTATGCGTAGGCCAAGTGTTGCCTTTATGTAGGAATTTTCTTTTTCTTTTTCTTTTTGTGAGTCCTGGGGCTTGAACTCAGGGCCTGGACACTGTCCCTGAGCTTCTTTTTGCTCACAGCTAACATTCTACCACTTGAGCCACACTGCCACTTCTAGCTTTTTCTGTTTATGTGGAATTGAACCCAGTGCTTCATGCATGCTAGCAAAGCACTCTACTACCAGCAAAGAATTTTCTTGTTTTTAATGTTGATACTGATTTTATCCTCTTTATCATTGCTATTGGACTATGAGAAAAGTGTCTTTTTTATAATATAGTTTGCTTCCTTTCTTATTAGAATTGTTTTTCGGAAAATTTCTTGCTTTGGCCAGGTGCCTTGGCCCTTGTTAATTATATTTTAGTTACATCCTTTTCCTGCTGCACTTTAAGACATCCTGTTAGACACTCCTTAAATTTTAATTATACGCTATTCATTAAACCACATCATTTTGCAGATTGTGAACCTGAGCTCAGCCAGTCAGAGCAGAGAGCAGGGCTTGCAGGGTTAGGGATAAAAAAAGAGCAGCCTCCTTGCTCTGTGTGCTTGCTTGCCAGATTTTTAGCTGATGGTTCACCCTTCTGCAAAAGTAAACCTCGCCTTGTTGAGCTCGTTTTGAGTTGATATACTAATTCCTATGCAACACCTCAACATCCTGAACTAGTTCTAATAGGATCAATTCCACCATCTGCAAGATGTAACTTTTAGTACCCAAATATCTAATTGGCCTTGTGAAAATTCCAACATTCCTTTGAGGTTAATGGCAAAGTTTGGCACCAGAATCCAGCTTCACCTTGGATATCCATGTAATTATTTTTCTCTCCCAGGCTTACTGTTGATGCAGTCACTAGCATAGAGAAGGGTCCAGAGTCAGGGTTAGGTTAGCCTCTACTTCACCTTATGCTTGCAATCCTTACTGGGTACACCCTTGAATGAACTTCCAGAAACTGTGCAGTAACCTTAGGTAGCAGAGTGACATTCTTCGTTATGCCTTCTCATTACTTTCTTTTGTGTGAGTGGGTCCTGGGGCTTGAACTGTGGCCTGGGAGCTGTCCCTGAGCTATTTTGCTCAAGGGTAGTGTTCTACCACTTGAACCACAGCACCTTTTTCTGAGTTGTTTTAGTGGAAATAAGACTGGGACAGCCGGGTACCAGTGCTCACACCTGTAATCCTAGCTACTCAGGAGGCTGAGAGGATCATGGTTCAAAGCCAGCCCAGGCACGAAAGTTCGTGAGACTCCTATCTCCAATAAACCACTAGAAAACCAGAAGTGGCACTGTAGCTCAAGTGGTAGAGCGCTTGCCTTGAACTGAAGAGCTGAGGGACATTGCCCAAGCCCAGAGTTCAAACCCCATGACCGACCCCCCCCAAAAAAAACAAAACTGGGACAGGGAATTCAGGAGGAGGTGGGGAGAACCTGCAATTAAAAGGATCAGCAAAAGATCATCAGTGTTTTGCTATCTGAGGACAAGGAGAGTGACTCAGCTATAAGGCAGAAGGAGGGATGTAAGAGTTTGAGGCCTGGAATCTGCTAAGATTGGGGAAGATCTTGGAAATTTTGTGATAATTACTTTTCTGAACTAGATTTCCTTATCAACAAAGTGAGAAGAGTCTTTCTACCTGTTTTGAATGATTTCTGTAAAAATTAATTGAGCTAGTTCATATGAAGCAATTAATTAGATACTGTCCTTGAATATATTAAGTACACAGTATCACCATTTTAGAGGCCTTGGTGATAAAGAATAGCTGGAACAAACACACTGGGGAATATCAAATGCAGCCTTGGGGCTTCTGGGCTGGTTTCTGGGGAGTCTTTGTATAATGTCTTAGTCTTACAAAAGAGGACTATATCGCCTGCCTTCTTCATCAGGGCATGTCCTTTTCTGCTAGGACTTCTGTGTATCAGAGGATTGAAGAGGGAGGGAAGGAGAGAGATAAAGAGAGAGAGAGAGAGAGAGAGAGAGAGAGAGAGAGCGCATTATGTGAGGCACCATGTCTTCAGTATTGTATATCATGTGAGAGGCAGGTTGACTTTGTCCTAAACCATCAAATCAGCTTTTCTTCAACTGGAACAAAACTATCATTCTTTCTGTCTCCATCAATAATAAAGACCAATTTGCTTTGAATGATGAAGAAAGCTGCTTAAATCCCTCCTCTAATTTCTCAGAAGTAGACTGTGTTCCTGAGTGAATAGCTCTCGACTTATGATGGGTTTTTAGTAGTCTGATATTGGATCTAGGAAATAGTATCACTACGTAATGATCTTCACCTTCTTTTCCCTCACCCCATGCTGGGAATGGAACTCAGGACCTTATGCATGCTAGGCAAGTTCTCTACCACTGAACCATGTCTTAAGCTTTCTTTTGCTTTTATGCTACAGAGCCCATTATATAAAACAGACCCAAGAAAGCCTGGAGGGGTGCAAGATGGCCCTATCACCAGCAGCAATTCTTGCTAGCATATCTGGCCTGTGGGGAAACAAGGTTCACAAAACTCTGAAGCCCTTTTCTGTCCAGTGCTTTGTCTGAGAAGAGGACTGGCTGAAGCTTTGTAAATGGGCAAGGGTAATCTAAGAAACTGGATTCTGCAGTGACAAAGGAGCATCGAAGTTCTGTATTACCGTTTACTAATGCATTAGCTGTTGAAGCTGCTGATTGGGTTTGCCTGAGCGTTTAGGGAGCACAGAACTTGTTATGCAATGAGGTGCTGTAACTAACTTGTGTTCAGGAAGTGTTCTGGGCTATCTGAAGCAGTGACAGGGCTCTTTAGAACATTTCAGTGAATTCATACGATGCTGCTTTGAATTGACTTGGCATGTGTGCAAACTCTAAGACTGTTTTTCAGACAGTCACATGGATACATAGCTCTTTCCCATATGGTCTGGCTTAACCTGCATTTCTGCTATATTTACATCAGAGTCTGAGCATGATATGTGAACCTGATCTCCTTTTATCTTCTAGGTTACAGATGCACATGTTGAATGGAGCTCTTCTGGCACTGCTGTTTCCTGTGGTAAACACCCGGCTGGTGAGTAGCTTCCTCTAGAATCTTATCAGTGACATCTAAAACAGGATTTTCTCACCCCTTTTGTGGTCCAGTGATTCTTAGCCCAAATGCAAACATGACTATTTGCATATGTTAGTGTGTTTTTATATTTTGATGACCCAGTCTCCTTTGAGTACAGGCAAGCTCAGTGGTGGAATTCTGGGGCTGCAATTAAGGTTTAGATCAGAGCTAGTATAGATCAAAGAAATCTTCAGAAGCTCTTGGAGAAGTTTGGTAGGAAGAAAATAGACTGAGGTCCTATAGTAGAGACTTTCAGATGTTTATGCTTAGGATAATCTGGCAGCAGGCTCAAAAGCTGTTTACTTTCCCAAGGGTACCTTTGAGCATGGGCCATACATCCACTCACACCCTATGGCAGCAGGGAGAATCCTACTGTGGTAGAGTGCAGGTGATAAACCAGCTTCCTGAGAAGTTGGCTTTAGAAGCTTGAGGTGGTGAGTTCTCACACTCCTCTATTTGGGGCTGAGGAAATATAAACAGGCCACTTTAGAAAGCTCAGGGAAAGAAATCAACTCTAACTACAGCTTTCTGCTTCAGTGACTTAAATGTGCCTCATACACAAAGTTCATAGCTTAGCTCTCGAAATGGCAATCTTTTTCATTACATGGCATTTTATCCTTTGTAAGGTCATTTCATATAACAGGTATGTATTAGGGCTGCTTGTTTTACACAGGGGGAAAAAACCCAATACCACTGTTTGGGGAATCATGGCAATTCTAAGTGGTAGACACGACTAGAGCCTGGGCCTCTTGATGCCAAAATGACAACTATGCATTGCTCCTTCTGAAGGATGTATTCATGTCCTCCCCTACATACACCAGCCACGTCCTCATAGCAGTTGTACTTCTATAGATTCATGTGCCTTGGCAGTAGGAATGAAAAGAGAAAGCATTTATATGGAGCAGTGATTTTGAACCCTCAGTAGACTTCAAACAACTAATTTGCTTCACTGGGAGTATGGCTCAGAAGTAGATCATTTGCGTAGCATGCCCAAAGTCCATCCTCAGCACCACAAAGAGAAAAAAAACCCAGAGGCTTGCCAAATCCCAAACTTGGAGGGTTTGATTGGTATGGTGTGGGATGATGACAGAATGAACATTTGTAACCATGTGGTGCCATGGGGGAGGGGGTTAGGATTGCTGCTGGATAATCAGTGTGTCAGGCACTAATAACTGTTACTTTAAGTATGTAACTTCAAGTGTGGCCCAAGGATGGTAACGTGGGTACTACTTGCTAGAAATGCATTATTTCAGGCCCCATACTCCCTGTGTATGGTAATTTGGATTTCCAGGTTTAGGTTACAAGGCCTGGAAACTTCTATCCCAGAGCCTTTGGTCCTACCTTCTAGGTAGACCATTGTCAGGTTGAAAAGAGAAGGACATGCTGTCCCTGTCTTAATAGGCAGGATGTGTTCTGGCCAATGTTCCTCTGAGGACTGGCATCACCAGTCACAGGCTGTTACTATAGGCCCCAGTGCTCTTCATTCTACATCCTGTATAATGTGACCTGCATGAATTTTCCTGCTGAACTGCAGAATGAAAACCACCTTAGGGCTGGTAGGTCCAGCTCCAGGGTAGAGAGCATGCATAGCATGTACAAAGGCCTGGAATCCATCCCTAGCACAAAACAAATGGACAAACTTACAAGCACTCTTGCCTTGATCTCAGAGCAGCAGGGGTAATATACCACAGAATGGTGCAAATAACTCCCAATTGACTGAATAAATCTCCACTTAAAAAAAAAACTGGCTAATTTCACACAGCTCAGCAGTATTTCTTACTGGCTCAGGGCTGTGAAGCATTGTCCGAGCAGACATGAATCCTTTCTTGCCTGGGGAGGCAACCTGCTATTTGTGCTATCACTCCACTCACTTTGTTCCCATTTACTCAGCAGAGAGTACAGCTGCTTTCTTCATTTTCAGCAGCCCTATCAGATTCAAGGTAAGGGGGCCTAGCAGAAAACCACTTCCTGGACTGGCCAATGATTAAGAATATGATTGCTTCCAGCCTAGAACTCTGACAGAACAGACTCTGCCATTGGTTGAGGAGGATACAGTTCCTCTGGACAGTCTGCCTTCTCTCCTCTATTACTGTGAACCTTTCCCCCCAGTGAAAGCCAAGTAACTTTCTCCTTAATAGCCATTGAGCATAGAAGTAGGAGTTAAGATTCCAGTTGTACAAATACAAAAAATAAAGGCCCCAGGGGGTGTGGTCTCATACCTTAGTCATTTAGGGAGCTGATGGTTACATTTTCATATCTCCCTGGATCTACTGGTGTTTTCTTAGGCCCTGGGTCTTTAATGGCAGTGGCAACATCATCAGTTGCCACTTCGTTTTTATGTATCCCAGACTAGCATGAACTCACATGATTCTCCTGTGTCAGTCACCCGAGTGTTGGGATTATAGGTATGCCCACCATGTTTAGCTCAGCTGTTACTTCTTGAATGTTTATTTTGTACCAGATGCTGTTAAATATTTTATAGATGATTTTACTTAATAATAATAAACTTCTGAAGCAAGGTACAGCAGTGCTTAATATCTCTAAGACAATCGACTATATGAGAGGATTGCCTTCCCCTGAAACCTCTCTCTTTGATAGAGATAGCCTACTTACTGCCTCCTCCCCAACATCTGTCTGCATACACACCTTGGTGTTATTTATTGTGTGGTCAGTTTTCTCTCTCAAAAGAATACTTATCACATTATATTAGAGCACATTTAATAGCTTCTTTTAAACTTAATCCCCTCTTTGAAAACCCTATCTCCAAAAGCATTCATATTGGGAATAGGACTTGAGCACTGAATTTAGAGGTTCCTTAAGCATCTGTACTACTTCATAGAGAACATGGTTTCTCTCTTGCTACCCTAGATTGCTTTCTTTCCTTTCTTGATGAGCTCAGGTTTACTTAAAATGAGACAGGGAAGATTGGCACTTTTTTTAATCTCATGATCCAATTAAGCAAGAAGGCAGCTTTTGAATTTTTTTTGGCCTTCCTTCTTGGCTCTTTACCTTTTTAATCCTTTTTTTTCCTAATTAGTAGTAAGGAAGCCAGAAAAATAAAACTAATTAGTTGGTGTGCTAGTTCCACCAGCATACATAAACTTCACACATACACTCGGATACGCAAAAACAGTTAAAGGAGTTAGAGAATTTGCTACAGTTAGCTAAAAGACTTGGAGTCATTGCTGAATTTCCATATGTGTTTTTTTTTGCCCTATGACCCATTACCACTGAAATTTGCAGACCAGCTAGAAAATACCCAGGTTTCAGTTTCTCCTTGTTCTATGTGTTAAAACTAACACCCTAGGTTGAAGAAGACCCATGTATTCTATGGCCCTAGTGTTACAAATGTCCTTTACAGTCAGGATGCCTGAGGCCTCTTTCTACTGAAGTGTCTTCAACGTCATTTCCAATGTTGGGTCCTTTTCTTAGTTGGAAGGAAAGGAGAATAAACACAATACAGGTCCATTGATTATTAAATTAGTAGAGAGCTCAACAAATATATAATTGACTCAAGTGAGTTGCTGAAGAAGCCTGGGTGGATGAGCCTTGAACCTAAGTCTCCTGTGACATCAAAGCCCTTTTCTTCTTTCATGACAGAGCCATGGGAGCTTGTATGCCATTTGTAGATTCCCTCTCTAAGTACTGGCTCATAGGCTCCTAGAGTAGCTGCAGAAAACTACATAACAACATATTTTGTTTTTCTGAGGCAAACAATGGATCCAAAGGCCTCACATATGTTAGGCAAGTGATTTATTACTTAGCTACAGCTCCACCCCCACAAATATATAATTTTGTATACAGTCTCAGGATTGACACAGATTATCTCCCTTCCTTTTTACTTTGCTTGTTGTAAGCCTATCTATGGACTGGAAATTAAGGTCTGCATAATCAGGCTGTCAATAGTTCATAGCTTCCAAAGCAGATGTACAGTATACTCTGAGTTCATTGTTATAGTCATGAGGTTTTCGTCCAGATGGTTATATTGAGTTTCATATCGGTGCATTTGACTGTGCAAAAAATACAAGTATAGGGGCTGGGAAGGTGGCTCAGTGGTAGAGCGCTTGCCTTGCGTGCATGAGGCCCTGGGTTTGATTCCTCAGCACCACATAAGCAAAAAGAAAAAATCCGGAAGTGGTACTGTGGCTCAAGTGGTAGAGCACTAGCCTTGAGCTGAAGAGCCGAGGGACAGCGCCCAGGCCGAGTTCAGGCCCCACGTCCTGACCAAAAAAATACATATACATACATACATACATACATACACGCACACATATATATATACACACACATATATACATGCATGTAAATATACATGTGTGTGTATATATGCATATACATCTGGTTATGATGTGTGATGCTGGCCTCATGTTGCCTCCTTCGTCCTGTCATTTTCACCCTTTGTCATCTAACCCTAATAAAGTATTCCAAGAAAGAGAAGAAAGAAGATAGTCTCAGCTCCCTTCTCAGACAGAAGACACTATCCTAGCCTGTATCTATGTTCACAGCCATCTATCTGTCTTCTATTAGAATTATAAGAGGAGTAATAATAATGCTTTTATCAAGCTTCTTTCTTCTTCAAGACTTCAGTATATTATCTCATTATTGAAATTGCCCATTATTGTGTGTCCTTGTTGATCAAATACATTTGTTCCTTTATTCTCCTCTTACCACCCTTCCGTCTTTGCCCAGTTCTTCTTCTCTGTCAGATGGTTCTTTTGAATATCTCAATTTTTTCAGCCCAAATGGAAGAAGTTAGTAATACCTTTGTCATTATTTGGTGTCTGTCTACCATTCAAGAACATTATCTTCATATTCTTGGCCTGCATCTTTGTAATGTACACACCTTGTCCCCATGTGGGCTGCAGGGAAAACTTTGCTGACACCAACACAGATTGGCTTGAGAATCTCACTCCTTGCTAATTGGCACATTGAAATGTGCTAATTGACCTAGAAAAGTTATT